GGCCCTGACAATCTTCACCCCAGGGTACTCAAGGAGCTGGCGAGCATCATAGCCCAGCTATGTTGGCTAGCACTATGGAAGAAAGAGACTTGGGGGTCGTCATTGACCACAAGATGAACATGAGCCTGCAGTGCGATGCTGCAGCTAGTAAAGCGACCAAAATGCTGGCTTGCATCCATAGATGCTTCTCAAGCAAATCCCGGGACGTCATTCTCCCCCTGTACTCGGCCTTAGTGAGGCTGCAGCTGGAGTACTGTGTCCAGTTTTGGGCTCCACAATTCAAAAAGGATGTGGAGAAGCTTGAGAGAGTCCAGAGAAGAGCCACGTGCATGATCAGAGGTCAGGGAAGCAGACCCTACGATGACAGGCTGAGAGCCCTGGGGCTCTTTAGCCTGGAAAAGCGCAGGCTCAGGGGTGATCTGATGGCCACCTACAAGTTTATCAGGGGTGACCACCAGCATCTGGGGGAACGTTTGTTCACCAGAGCGCCCCAAGGGATGACGAGGTCGAATGGTCACAAACTACTTCAAGATCATTTCAGGCTGGACATAAGGAAGAATTTCTTTACTGTCCGAGCCCCCAAGGTCTGGAACAGCCTGCCACCGGAGGTGGTTCAAGCGCCTTCATTGAACACCTTCAAGATGAAACTGGATGCTCATCTTGCTGGGATCCTATGACCCCAGCTGACTTCCTGCCCTTTGGGCAGGGGGCTGGACTCGATGATCTTCCGAGGTCCCTTCCAGCCCTAATGTCTATGAAATCTATGAAATCAAGGCTGGTCAAAACATTCCAAAAGTTTGAAAATGTTTCGAGTTTCGAAGCAGCTAGCAGCCAGGTGGTGGGAGACAGGAGAGAACCAGGGCTGTGCTCCCAGCAGCTCTGCAGCCCCATATGGCTCAGCTGGACTATGAAAAGGGTGGGGAAGGCATCTCAGCCTAGCTGAGCTGAGTTCCCCTCCCCACCACTACAATTGTAGCCCAGTCCTAGTGCTGGGGAGGGGAACTCAGCTCTGCTGGGCTGAGTTGCCTTCCCCAGCCCTATCGGAGCATTGGGGAGGGGAACTCAGGTCAGCTTGGCTCAGTTCCCTTCCCCAGCCTGATCGTAGGGCTGGGGAGGGGAATCGAGTGATCGGGCTCAACTCTGTTCCCCAGCTCCCCGGTCCCACACAGAAGCACCCAGTTTCCCTCCCTCATCTGGAAGGCAGATTGGGGGCCCGCAACCCTGGGAGGACTGGCACAACCCCCGTAGCCCTCCTGGGGTTGCGGGCCTCCGATCTGTCGGCTGGATGAGAGAGGCTGTTTTGTGCTTCCCCATTATAGACTATGGGTGAAATGTTGAAACAGCGTCACTGTTTCAGCTAAACGAAATGGAACAGCGGTTTCAAATCGAAACGAAATTCAAAACAAAACCCTGTTTCATTGAAACCTCGAAACACAAGTTGAAATGGAACAGTGCCATTTCGTACAGCCCTGTAGTCTATGTCCGAAGCATCAAATCTCTCTGAATCAATTCAGAGGGTTTTGATTTGATTCAGAAATATTAAAGGGTCGCCTGATTCAATTCAGATTCAGAGATTCAGCCGCCGAATTGGGCTGATTCTCCGCCAAATCGAATCAGCAACAGAAGCTTCATACAGCTCTATTGTGCACATTTATTTTAAGGCATGCAAGGGTTTTGAATTTTTCATGCAATATAATAAGGCATCTTGAACAAAAAGTCACCATTGTGCCATGGTAGCATGGAAGATGTTATAGGGGACAATACTATACTTCATTCCTGTCCTTCAAAATATTGTCAGCTTCTCCTGTAGTGGGTTTCATATGAACTATCTCCAGGTATCAGACAATTCATGTGAGTAAGACAGGCTAGGGATGAGTTTAAGTGAGAGCCTTTATTTAAAGAGATGATTTGATTTGCATGGACCAGAAATGATTCCACAACAAATCCTGGGTTTTAAGCACCCAGGAATTGTGAAGTGTGTTGTCTGGATGACTTGGGCTTCACACCAGATTTTGTGTGTCTACTTCATTAAGGTGGAAATTGAAAGTGTATGTGTTTTTTGGTATTTTTTGGAACCCAGTGCCTCGTTTAATGTACCTGTCATTGTTCCATGTTTTCCTGTCATCAGCTGATGAGAACAAAACAGATTCTTAGGGCAGTACACCCTGGCTGATTTTAGAACCAAATCCTCATCGCATTGAAGAGCATTACCCAAGCCAGAATTAGGGGGAGGGAGGCGGGGGGTGGGGGGGGTGTTATACCCTCTACATTCATTTATTTAATTTAGGCAAATATATTCACTGTGACTTTTTTGCAGCTACAGAACTTTTACAGCACATTGCAAACTCACACATTGAAAGAAAAATAACCTATGGTCTGCCCTATTGCCTCAGTAAAAGTTGATTTGCTCAGACTCTCTCTTTACAAACATCTTAGTGAATAGCAATTTGGGGCAATTTTTCCTGAAGATCAGCAAACTCAAGCTTTTACCAAAGAAATCAGCAAAGCAAACCCCAAGGGTCTTGTAGTGGAATATTGCTTTGTTCTCAATCCTTGATGTCCTTTCTCTACAACTGTTCAAATTTAGAATGTACAAGCATGAAGATCCAGCTGGTGAGGCATAGTATTACATTCTGATCTCAATTATGCCAGTACAGATTTAAGTAACTCCAGTCAGTAGAGTGATTTCAGCAGTCACTAAATAAATATAGCTGTGGTATAACAGCAGTCAGCATTTATCTCAGGCTCTAGGGCAGACAAGATTCAACCTCGCTTGGGCTTTTTAGGTCATACTCAGTATCTTGAACTGTATCTGGAAGGGTATTCAAAAGTAGTGAAGCATATGGAACACAAGTGTGCAATGGGCTCCAATATGCTCCTCCATCTAAATAAGTAGTCACATTCTGAAAGATCCTCAGTTGTTGAAAGGGAGAAAGAACCTTGAAGTCAGAGCTTGACAAGTAAATGAAAAAAGAAAAGTTTTGCAAACCCCAAGTGTATAAATCTTTTTGATACTTAAGTGCCTATGTGATACGCTTTGGTTGAGATAAAAATCACGTCTTTTGCAGAAGTCAGAGCAAAACTCATCCATGGCTCAAAGTAGACAATGTGGGAGTGTGTTCTTTGGGTTGGGTTAATGATTGTAGCAAAGTGAAATTGTCAGTGCACGCTTACAAAATCCAGAACAATGGTATAGTTTATTTTCCAATTTCAGAAGGGAAAAATGTTACTACAAAACTATTATGGAGATATTTCACTGCAAACCTTCTGCAGTTCAATGTTTCAATGACTAAGAACTGCCATTAAACTACATGGGATGAAAATTCCAATTACTATTAATTCTCCTGCTTCTGGGCATAAGATGATAGTCATCTGAAGACAAAATTTCCCCTGTCTGGTGTAACATTGTACAACTAGTCAGAGGAAAAGCCTTATAACTTTCTCTGAAATATTTGGTAATAACTAATATTGGCACAATTTCAGGCTTGATCAACAATTGGTCTGTTGGAGTTTGATTATATGGGTTTTAACCCATATATGGGTTTCCTCCTTTTTCACCCATATATGGGTTTTTAATCCATTTGATTATATGGCTTTTTGATTATATGGGTTTTTTTACTGGGTTTTTAAACAATCATTAAAACCTGTTTATTATGAATTTTTTTTCAATACACTTCCCCTTTATTTTTTTTCCTTTCTCCTTCCAACTTTAAGGAGCTTCCACCCAGAATTCCAATGCAGTGGAGCCAGAAAAGCAAGTTGACAGCACAGTGAAAATGGCTGGAGTTATAGCTGGGCTTCTGATGTTTGTTATTATCCTCTTGGGAGCAATGCTCACTATCAAAAGAAGGTAAGTCTCTGCTTTGCTTCATTTTTGACCTACTGGTTAGGATAACTTTCATTTCACTCAATTTTTTACCTTGGTTAAGATAAAAGACTCTAGTTGTGTTCATGGAAGAGGAAGAAGACTACTGTTGTGGTCCCTACCTCAAAGAATTTAAAATATAAATATAAGACAATTGACAGCTGAAAGATAGAGATGGGAAAGAACAGGAGACAGTATAGGTCAGCATAATAGGCAGTGGATCTTGGCCCACCAAGTCTAGCAGTTTTCAAGGTTTTTTTTGTAGCCATCACAGAGAAGGAGGGTTCTAACAGATAATCATGAAGTAACATTGCAAATATATACATGATGTTCTTCCCAAACATGGTGGGGGCAGCATGGGAGAAAATTTCAGGTATTTTGTGCAAGCATTGAGAAACCGGACAAGAGATACAAAAAGGGCCGTCATAAGTTCTAAGTGACAGCTAGGAAAATTATCTTCACTGCAGCATTCCTTATACATATGACTGGGGCAAGGTTTTATTTGTGAAGGCCCTAGAAAAGAATGTTACAGTAACTGAAATACAAAATGATAAGGGATTAGGTGAGAGTTTTAACCCTGTGGATGGATAAGGAAGGCCATATTTTAAGGGTGTCATGCAGAAAGAATCAGCAGGCATCTTGTCTACAATCAGAACGTATGATGACGTCTGAGTCAAAGGTGTCACCCAAGCTACAGGCTTGGGTGACAGGCAGGATGGTACTGTTACCCCCAGTGATCAAGAGAAGAGTAGCATGAAGTGATTGGGGCAGAGGAAATGTATCTGTGTGTTTTAGCTGTGTTGACCGTGACCTGATAACTAGACATCCACAAGAAGATACCGAAGAGAGAAATCAAGGTTTTAGCTCAGAGGGTCTATAACTAGGAACCTACCTAAATTGCAGTGGAAACATGCTGCTCAGTGGCTCCTTTAGCTTCGCTTTTTTGCTGCACCCTTCCCCCCCAGTAAGGAGAAAGAGACGAGAGAAATAGTTGTGTGGGACCCCTGTAGAAAGGTGGAGATGTGGAGATGTGACTCATCCTTTTAAGAGGAAAATGAAGGATTGATTAGAGAGAAAGGATAGGACAAATTCTCAGAGAAGCCAAGAGATGACAAGATTTCAAAACCATGATTTATGGTGTCAAAATGGCCTGTTCAAGGAGGATGAGGATGATATACTTATTCTAAGCCTCTGTTGAACAGAAGCCATTAGAAACTTCAGTGAGAGAAGTTTTAGCAGAAAAGACAAAAACAGGTTGAAGTGGGTGTATGATGGAATTGGAGAAGACAACCCTCGGACAAGAGTTGTTCAATGAGCTTAGAAAAGAAAGGGAGAGGGAAGCATATTTGTATTATGAGGAGAAAGATGCAGAAAAGACTGACATGTTAAAGATAAAGTAAGGGAAGGAATGAGGGTAAGCAGGAGATGGGTTACGGTTGCAGGGGCAAGTGAAAGGCTTAAAGCAGAGTTCTTAGGTTAGCTATGAAAATTTAGATGACCACTTGAATAAAAGACTTCTAGTTACAATGTTCTTTTTCCCACGCGGGTGTGCACAGGAACACTAGGGCACAGAACACAGACGTAAAACTCCAGGCTTTGTCTACCATTTCTCTGAGAGTCATAGCATAACTTTGCACAAGTCACTTCTCCCACTGGGGAAAAAAGCAGGGTAGGGGGATGGGTAACATTGCCTCAGAGAGGTGTTGAGGCTGTTTGTAAAGCACTTTCAGATCCTGAAATGAATGACACTAAATAGGCACAAATGGTATTATTAAAATAGGATTTGAGCTGTTTTCCAGTGTAGAAGTTCTTTCTGTTTTGCATATTTCTTAAACTTGCCTTTATTTCACAACTATCCTTTTTTGTGCACTTGGTAAGAGGAGAGATGTGATGTAGATGCATACAGTATTCCCATGCAATTATCAAATACATGGCTATGAAATGTGAAAGAGATCTCAGATGAAAGTCATCTACATTTGTCTTCTTTTTTTTAGATGCAAAGATGCTAGAATGGCTTATTCCAGGAGGATTATTAATTCTCCAACTTGCCTGGGCCTGCATACAAATGGCCTTTTCTCTAAAACATGGGTGTCAAAGATCTGGCCTGCAGAGCCCTATCATCCAGACCCCTGGAACTGACCCACAAACAGCATGCGGGGTGCACCAGATGACCCTGTGTGCCACACACAGTGCCCACTTAAGCCACTTCGGTACTGCACCGTATGCAGGACAAATTCCAGCATATATTGGCTCCATGCCAGATCCAATGGCATATATCCTGGAATGGCTGCTGCATGTAATACAACCGTGGAACAGCAGAGCAGCCACTGCCTGCAGTGCAGCCCTGCAGTCCCTGACTGGCCACTGCATGTAGCATAGTCCCCGCAACTCTGGAGCCATGTGCAGTATTGCTTTTGAGTGGCTGGAGCAGGACACATGCTGGATCCAGCAGGTGGGGCCTGTCTGTGGCTCTGATCCGGCCCTGATCCGGGTCTGATCCATGGGCCAGATGAGTTTGATAACACTGCTCTAAAGCATCTGTTCAGCTGGACAGAGGGTTGGGCTTTGCTGTAGATAGAAGTTTTTCTGAGAGTTTGTTTTAGTTTGTGCTTAACTGAAACATTATGAAGCCATTGCTGGTGCACATAGAAGCAAAGTTTTCCAGTAGTTTATTTGTATGGCTGTATGCTTTCTTTTGAACCATCAACATTCAGCCTTTGAAATAAAACAAAGCTTGCATCTGGCTTCCCTTTCATCATTTTAAAAGCCCTGCTTTTACTATAGCGAAAGGGAGATGATAGTAATAGTTTAGTACCAGAGAGAGAGTTTGTGTTTATTTTTACCAGTCAATTTTCTGATGCTAACCCTAAGTTTCAATATTATTTTGACACGATGAAATCTGAGCTGTCTTACCCATCACAGTATTAATTAGACAGGACACAATCCTATTCAACCTGCTAGGCATTGAAGTAGCATTTAGGCATCTAAATACCTAAATGAAATCCTGCTTAAGTCCCTGAAAAGTTGTTGTCACAAAGGTGGGAGGGTCTTCTTCCTCCTTGCCGCATTTTATGACTTAGTATTAAGGGTAAATTGAAGGCCCATAGTAAAAGTGTTAATATTTTTCCAGGATATTAAGCAGACTGGATTAGGATTCCACTTTGACAGATGCTGGTTAGATGTCTAACAAGTGAAATACTATCTAACTGGTTGTACTTACATAAGTAAGTAGTTGCATACATGAATAACAAATAGTCATGTGAGATGGGTTTGCAGGATCAAGCATATATTCCTAGAAATTAATAAACACTTACATCCAGCTGTCTTGCCACTGCTCCAAATCCGTGTTACTAAATATTTTAGATAAGGGCACTGCTGACTATGCCTGCTAAAATACATGTTGATCTACTATATTCATTTGCATCTCAAATAAATTAATATTTTGTTTTTCAGTTAATTATATAGTCAATAAATACTTTCAGCTCCCATTGACTTGAATGGATATTGTGGATGTTCTGGGTTTTACAGCTTCTGTTCTTCAATTCTAATTGTGCACAAACATTTGAAGTTTTGTGGGGAAAAATGGAATTGTGTGTGTTTTGTAGTCATGTTTATTGCACCCTTGTTTAATATTCCGCCTAAATGCTACATCTATTTCCAGCATCCAGGAGCTTTCAAGTCATATGCAGAAAACATGAGATGTCTCTAGTGAAAAATAGAAAAAAAAATCATGAAAAGAAATTGAGCTGGATCTTAGTCTAGGTCTTATTTTAGTTTTTTAAATCCATTCCCCATCTCTTCTGAGTCCCACATGTGCCCTTAAATGGTGTTTTTATTTTCAGATTGAAAGGCAAGATTTTAAGGACATGACTGATGTAAAACAATCATGATCTACAGAATAATGCCACACCTTCCCCAAGCCTTTGAGTATTGACCACATTTTTCATTACTTTTGCCCCGTGTTATAGTATAGTTATAAATCAAATAGCTGTGAAGAAAAGAAACAAAACTTTCTGATTGTGATCATAAGCCCATTATTGGTGATAGTTTTCCTGTGACTTAGAATATAAAATAGTCAGTTGCTAGAGTCAGAGATTTTTTGATAAAGTAATTTTGCTTTAAATGGTCAGGACATACACTTTTCTCTAAATGTTAATGCTCTACTTTGGACCTGAAACCACAAATTGGCAAAGTGTGTATGAGCACTTATTTTGTTAGTGTGCACACATAAGTACTATAAATGCTTTGGTGATAGTCTCTGGAGATCATAAAAGCATAGGACTCATCTTAGTGTATGGGTATCTGTAATACATTTTGAAGTTCAGGTCCCAGTTTTTTTCCTGTTGTAGACTATGTATTAATTTTCGTATTTCTAGTACATGCTGCAGAATTCCTGTGTGTAGGTTTACCTAGAAATTGAATAGATTAGAGTCTCCTGTTCTTAATCCTTTAGTCTCTTTGTTTTAGTCCAGTTTTGGGGTCTTATTGGAATATATTTGTTTGCTAATAGTCCCTTTTCTCTTCCATCAAATTTCTCTGTAAAACCCATTTCTCTGACATGAATCATGCCCATGCTTTTTGTTCTGTACATCTTAAAAAAACACCAGGGCAGGATTCATGCTTACTGCTGAACTAGCCTGTTGCTCTTTCTCAATTTCCCAGCAACAGAGTTTGAAAGTAAGATCACAGAGGATCCAAATAAACAGAGTTACAGGTAAGTAATTTGCTCCTCTGAAGATGCTGAGTCAAATCTTCATAATTCAGTTTGACTCTACTGATCTCATTGAGTGAAATGGAGCAGTAGCATAACGAGGTCAGGGTGAGCAGTAGGGGTGTGTGAAACGGGCCGTATTCAGTTTGGATTTGGATTCGACCTGAATCAGGGACAGTGATTCGATTAGTTGATTCGGATCACTGTCCCTGATTCGATTCAGCTGAATCTGAAGATTTGATGCTGATTCGGAGAATCAGCAATTCAGCCATAG